ACCACTCGGGTTACACGCAACGGCACTGGATACACACTGGCAGAGGCCCTGACAATCACATGTCATCATCAACAGACAGCCTCTCTCGAAAATAGCTACTTTGATAAAAGAAAAAAATGCTTGGTATCATGACAAGATGTAAGTAGGAACTCTCCTTGCCCCAACCCCCCAACGCCCCCAAAATGACCCCAATGCCCCCACAAATGAAAATATATGTAACGATATGCAGATGCCCCCCCCTCACCCCCCTCACCCCGTCACCCCCACCCACCCCATCCCCCCATCAATATTCCTCCAATCCCCCCTCTCCATCGCGCTCCCCCACCCCATCATGACCGCCAGTAACCGACAACCTACTGCTGACGCCGTACACACCACCGCATCACTACTATCCGCCAACACCGCCAAATCCATCATATACGCCCTCCCCACCAAGCTCCTCAACCTGGTCGCCTCCCCGCCTCCCCTCCCCCTCTCCCCCCCGGCACTCGTCGTCGCCACCCCCAAGTTCCAAAACATGGCCGCAAAGAACCCCCCCTCCCACCCAAACGTCTCATCCACAAACTTCCTCATCACATGCCGATCCACGCTCGGCCTCTGCCCGACCTGCTTCCCGCCCAACTTAATCCTCTCCTGCGCCGGCGTCGCCGCCCCCCCAAACTCCCCCGCCTCGTACACCGTCGGATCGTCCGACGCCAGCACCACGAAGCTCTGCCCCGGCGCGCCCCCGCGCTCGGCCACCACCGCCTGCGCCGTCTCGGCGTACACGTCCAGCGGCACGTACGAGTCTTGGAACTGGAACGCGCGCGGGTGCCGGTCGCCGCGCCGCACGTGCACGCCGACCACGACGCCGTTGGCCGTGCCCTTGGACCGCGGCGCGATGCGGCGCGCCACGAGCTCGCGCGCGCGCGCGTCGACGTACGCCGCGTCGTCCGAGTTGAGGTGGAAGAGCGCCTCGTACCCGCGGCGGGCGAGGGCAAAGTCGGATTTGACGTCACCGCCGCCGCCGTCCGGGTCCCCCGGCGTCACGAGGAGCCGGGCGGTGGCGGCGGTGGCGACCAGGTGCCGCGCCTCGCGCGGGCACGGGAGCATCTCGGCGCGCGGGGGTGGCGCGCAGCCCGGGTTCGGGGGCGCGCGGAAGATGTCGGCGTACTTGCCGTAGGCCCAGCGGGCGTCCTCGACGAAGAAGGCGCGGCCTTCCTTCTCGGCGACGCCGTAGGCCGTCCAGAGGCTCATGAGGGCGGCGCCGAGGCCGGCGTCGTCGGATTCGAGGACGAAGGTGAGGGTCCGGTCGCAGACGACGGGGTGCTCGCGCTTCTTCCTGTCGTCGTCGGGGGGCGTGGGGAGGTGGCCGGCGTGTTTGGCCTCGCGGACGTCGATGAAGCCCGAGGTTGGGTCCGGGGCGAAGCCGAGGTAGGCTTCCTTGGCGCGGAGGGAGCGGACCTGGGCGGAGACTTCGGCGCACTGGGTGCAGAGGGCGGCGTACTGGGCGATAGGGAGGGGGAAGTCTTCGGTCGGGGGGATGGAGACGGTCCATTCGGCTCGGCCGCGCTTGTCTCGGACCATGATTGGGGCTGCCGTCTCGGGCAGTAATGTTATCTCGGGGCCCCGGAGGAGGCTACTTGATGCCAGGGTCTCATCGTCAGAGGTCAGAGTGGTCTTGATGCATCTGACGACAAAAAAGATGAAGAGGGTGCTGAGGAGCCAAAAGGTGTATCGGATGACCCGGCTGGGCCTGACCAGACCGGCGAAGCCACGAGACGGCTTTCGTGGGGGCGGTGAAAGTGATGGGAGGCCTGGAGATGGCGGCGGGGAGAAGACGAGGTGGTTGAAGTTGAACCGAGAGGAAGTGGACGAGAGCGGCCCCCGGTCGTGGTTGTATGACGCCGCCTTTCGAAGGTTGATCCGGGGCGGTGAGATGATGCTCTTGTGAGTCGCCCTGCTGGAGAGGTCGAGTGTTGGTGGCATCTTGGCTGTGGTGCCAGAAGCTTGTCTGGAATAAAGGTGAGGAATATCGCGTTGCCTTTCTCAGTGTCCTCGGACAGCAAGGTCATAAAAGACCCGGATCACGAGGCAGCTGGGCAGGTCCCCGACTATTCATCCCTCGGAGCCCGCCGATCAGACAGATGCCGCTCAACTTTCAGAGCCGTTTGGCGAAAGTTGACCCATCCGGGGTGTGACCTCGACGCGGTCTTTGAGGAAAGATCGACGTCTTTGCGTCTGTCGCCGGTGGGAAGCTGGCGTCGGCTGGATATGTGTGGAGAGCCAGGCGATTCCCACGAAAGAGAGGGGAAGAGAGGGCGACGGAGAAGCCCCTCGAGGGATGACGTGTTGGCGTCGCTTTGCCGGGAGTCGGAGGGCGTCTTGTTTGAGGAAGAGGAGGGGTCCAGAGTACAGAGTGCGTGATGGGTTACACACTGGGGATGGTGGCGCGGAGTAGGCCGACGAGAGGCGGGCGGTCGAAGTGGCGGTCTCGGTGCTTCCGCTGGTTGTTCTCTGGGTCTGGGGGAGTGGTGGGATGGAGAGGGGATGTTTTCTACGACATGGACATGGACAAGATGTGGCCAGCTGAGGGCGGTGGGAGGGAGAAGCCGGATTGTTTCATCTTCTTCTTGTCATCCCAACCGGGCGTGCCAGGGCAGAGCAGACAGCAAACCAGGCCGAGTTTGTGGAGAGAGGTGGAAAAGATCGGCCGTCCTCAGTCAGTCAGATATATCCGTATGGAAACGGAGAGGCGCAACTCGAGCCGATCCCATGCCACCTTTCCACTTTCCACTTTCATCAACCATCATCCTTCGCCTCGACCCTCGCCTCTTGTCAAACAGCCATCTCCCACTCTCACACTGCACCTTGCTTTTCCCATTGACCGAAAACACTGCGCAACCCCAGTCGGCACTCGAATCAAAACTTAAAAGGGAAGGCAACTCGTCAAGGCCAACGGAGCCGTCGCCCCTCCCCAATTCCCAGGGATGAGGTTCCCCGGAAAACCGGTCGATCGCCATCTTGCCTCCTTCCCTCCCATCGCCCCCTGTCCGACTTGAAACGCGCCAAGTCTTCCTGACAGACCCAATCGCTGCGAGCCGGCGCGCCCCATCGGGCCGGGGGGCTCCTCCCATGCACGACCGTTCTGGGGTCCAATTCTCGCATCTGCCATTCGAGTCCATCATTTTCCCATCTTCTTCTCACTTCTTCAACAGAAACCAAAACTTGCAGACATCCTCACCGCCCCCCACCAAGACAAAACTGCCGCCCCCCGCCCTCTCACGACATACTGTGTACAATCCGGCGCGGCAGTCAGCTTGCTCTTCCGCCGGCTGCCGTGTAACTCGCCGGCGTCTCCCTCTCTCCACTCACCAAATGCCGTGCCGTCAACTCCCACCACCGCATCCGCAGCATGTCTCAAACCGTTTGCCTGGCGCGGCGGCGGCTTCTCGGCGGTTGTCCTCCTGCTTGCTGAGCACAGAAACACGTAGTCGTACGTTGATACAACAGGCGAACTGGCAGAGGTATGGGGACTCGGGCCGTCGACTAAAGTTTGAATCCTCGGTCGAGGGAGACGAGGACGAGGGGCAACCAAAGTATCCAGTCGCCGTTTGCCCCCGATGACATACATGTTCGCTTCGTTCGTTCGTTCCGTTTGTCGTTTGTCTCCTCAAGATCACCACCACCCCCCCATCCAGCGAGAGATCTACCGGGTGAATGCCGTGAATGCCCTCCCCCAACCAGACCAACTCCTTCCCCGGAACCATCTACTACACAGCACACATCGCTTGCACCATTTCCTCCGAGCCGTGTCTGTCGCCCGTTATTTTCGGCATCTGCAAGCCGTGTTGCTGACACCAAACCGGGTTGACGTGCCATCGACACCGGAAGGCAGCCATATAAGCGGTCGGCTTTCTCTTTGCAATATATCTGAAAACCGACCAGCACCTTGCGAGTTTCTCTCTCGACCTGTCGTTGTTGGCCCCCTCGGATTCTAGAAGGGTGACAAATAGGGGAATAGAGTGCCAATACCACCTTCCACTGCGAATCCCCTCCTCCATCGCGACCATTGCATTACCCGTCACCCTTGATGTATTCGGCATCCAGCAAGACAACCCATTTCCATCTCAAGACGGCCATTTCTACCATATGTAGTTTCCCCGACCTAAAACGCCAGTGTCTACCATATCCAGAGTCCAAAGTCAACCGTGATATGTGCCCGACCATGTACACACCACGCCATATAACCCCCCCCAACCCACTTTGGCTATGGTGCGCAACAGCTTTGGATATGGTGCGCAACTGCCCTGTACGCAGCGTCCGGGCAGGCAACACAGCCACACCAGCCACCTAACTATCGCGATCATCGCAATCGCTAGGTACTCGCGATTCAATTGAACTGTCGCCGGTTGCGGTTCAATTGAGCAATCGCGGTTCAATTAAGCGATCGCGGTTTAATTGAGCGATTACGATTTAATTGAATGGTCGCGATAAAATAAAGTAGCTGCGATGCGCTGTGCGATACTATGTGCGATGCGCTGTAGGATACTTTTTTTAGTAAGGCGCTATATCTTAGCGGGAGGCCCCTGAAAATATAGGGGGTTACTACCCTATAATATAGCGTATCCCTACTATAATATAGCGGCCCCCTATATTATAGGGGTGGTACGCTATATTATAGCGGGTAGGTACGCTAAAATATAGCGTACCTACCTACTAAAATATAGCGCCTTGCTAAAAAAGGTATTATGTAGCGCATCGTACAGCGTATCGTACAGCGTATCGCAACTATTTAATTTATTCGCAATCGCTCAATTGGACCGCGACCGCGCGACCGCGCGACCGCTCAATTGAATCAATCGGGGGGGCAACATTGGTGTGTGGCGGTGTTGCGAGTCTGGGGGGCACGGACGCAGCGCACGTGGCAGTTGCGCACCATATCCAAAGCTGTTGCGCACCATAGCCAAAGTGCCCCAACCCCCCCAAACCCCATCACTCATAGTTGAGAACATTCCCCAGGGTGCGTAGCTTAGCGGACAAGAGCGTAGCAAACCTGCATTGGTGCATAATCCAGATGCACTTGGTACAAAACCGACGCTGTGCATTGAGGTGGTCCAGATTGAAAACCCAACACTCGAACAGGGACACTCCCCCCGCAACCAGCCTGGCCTTGTTCGAGTGTTGGGTTTTCAACCCGGACCACCTGCCAGTATGTTGCTTTGTACTTAAATGTCAGGCCTATTACCTGGGTTCGAATCCCAGCGCATCCAACAACTGTTCAACTACCTTTTTGCCCCCCCCTCCCCCAGAATAAGATGGTCTGGATGGCACAAACGGAACGCACAGGACTTGTCACCTCCTGTTTCTTTGCTTCGTTCGTCTCTGTCTGCTCCATCAGTCGGATACCGACATGCCACATGCACTCGACCGCGCTATCGGCCGATGGACGGGAGCTTGCCGACCCCCCCCCTCCTCCTCCACCTCCACCGACGTCAAACCCAAACGCAAACGCCCGAGTCACTCCCCGTCACCATCAATGCAAACCCATCCCCGTGTCTTCATTCGTCCATCCGTCCGTCCAGACCGGACCTCTTCTTGACAGCAACCTAGCGGGCCGGGACACCGGGAGCCGTCCATCCATCAATGACGGGTAGTTGACGTGAGATCACACTCGAGCAGGTACAATGCAAACGCCCGACATTGAAGTAAATCATGCTTCTTCTTCTTCTCTCCTCTCCTCTCCATTCCCACCCCCTCCACCTCTGTCTGTCTGTCTTCTGTCTTCTGTCTTCTGCCTGTCTGTCTTCTGCTGCTGCTGCTGCTGCTGCTGCTGCTGCTGCTGCTGGTGCTGGTGCCTCGCGCTCGACCACCATGCCATGGTATCCGTACGTACAAATACAATACATCCTATCCCCTATCCATCCAGACCACCCGCTCCCCCTCCCCTGCGGCCAACCCAACCCAAACCCTTCCCTCCTCGTCGATGTCATCTCCCCGCCCACGCATTATGAATAGGTATACAACCGACCCCCCCCCTGAGTCCTCCTCCTTGCCATCCAAAACGGACCAATACCTATACAGCACACCACCGGAAACAAACCAACCCAACAAGAGAAAAACGACAGCGGGTATAAGACAAGATACAAGACGCGGTCAAACCCAACAAGAGCAAGAACGGAAAAAAAAAAATCAGTTTGGACGCCCGTCAGCCCGCCCGCCTGCCACCCACCAGTTAGTTTCCCAAACCGAACCCCCATAATGACAACACCACCACACCGAAGCCGATCCAGCTTGCTTGCTCCACGCAGCAAAAGAAAACCAACCCAAACAAAGAAAATACCTCGCCTCTTTTCGGGCTATCTTACACCTCCAAAACCGTCTGCACCTTCTCCTTCTCCGCCTGAGCCTGAGCCTGAGCCTGAGCCAGCACCTGCGCCTGATGCTCCGCCACCGACGCCCTCTGCTTCGACAGCAGCTGCAGCTGAATCGGCGGCTCATTCGCCGCCGCCGCCGCCGCCGCGCGCTGCTCGGGCGCGATGCGTACACTGCCCCGCGTGCTGCGGATAATCTGCCCCGTCTCGACGCGGTCCTGAATCATCTCATCCAGCATGCGGCTCATCTCGTCGACGCTCTTCGTACGCCCGCGCAGCGTCGACACCTGCCTAGCGAGCGACGTGCTGGGGAGGCTGGCGACGGGCGGCGGGCCGGGGTTGCTGTCGAGGATCTGCGACGCGCGGTGCGACTGCGGCGGCGGCTCTATGCTGCTGCTCTTGACCAGTTCGGGGCGGTGTTCGGACCGCGACTCGACCCGGTCGGCGTTGTCTCGCGACCGCGCCGCGCTGCGGAGCGCCGCCACCATCTTGTCCTTGTCCTCGAGGCGCGCGCGCAGCTCGGCGATCTCGACGTCCTTTTCCTTGATGAGCGCCGCGACGCTGTGGTCTTCGCCCACCAGGATGCCCTTGCCTGAGCCAAGGCCAACCGAGGTTCTAGATGAGCTGGCGCGCCGGGCTTGGAGGAGTCGCTTCTCGAGGGTCTGGATGTAGCGGTTCTTGTCGGCCAGGTCTGCTTGCAATGCGCGGTTCTGCGATGCAAGGGATGCCGTCCCGTCCCCGTACTCGCCTGTGCTGTCTTCGTCTTCGGCGACGATGGCAGGGGGCTCCACGCCCCCAGAGGACCGATGGCTGCTCGTCTTGCGGCCGATGGTGGAAGACGTTGACGTCATCGACGCGGTTCGCTCCATGATGGGCCTGCCGACGTTGGACGCCGCCATCGACGACCGGACAGATCCCTGCGAGTACCGGGGGTGGATCCCGAGGGAGCTGTACGAGCCGTTGGCGTTGACGCCGGTCGATTTGGAGCTGAGGATCAGCCGGTTGAGATGGTCTATCCTCTCCTTCAGCGCTGTTCGGGCCAGCTGCATCTCCAGCATCTGCTCCTCGTGGCGCTGCTCGGCTTCCTTTTCCCGAGCCATCTCGGCCTGCACATCGCGGTCCTCCTCCTCTTCCACGTCTTTCTTGCCCTTGTTTTTGGCTTGCGTCTCGAGCTCCTTCTTGAGCTCTGCAATCTCCATCCGGTAACGCTCTAGCAGGACTCTAGCACCGCCATCGCCTCCGGCCCCGAGGGCTTCCTCGGCCCGCTTCGCGTGGCTGACAATGTTGTTCTTGGCTCGTGACGCAAACTTGAGCGTGTTGATGGTTTCGAGGTTGTGCGTGTTGGACGGTGCGGAAGTGCCAGCGGCGCCAATCTGAATGGTGCAGAGGATGCTGACGAGCGAGTTGCCAGACAGGGCTCCCTGCAACAGTCTGGTGAGTTTGCTGTCGCGGTAAGGCAAGTGCTTGCCGTCCTTGTCCGACGGCTTCCCATCCTTGTCCTTTTGGTCCGACAGCTTGGCAATGACCGTGCCGAGGGTGAGCAAGCTCTTGTTGATGTGGGAGCCTTCCTGTCGTCGCTCTTTGGACTCGGCCGCCTTTTCGGAGCCAGCCAAATCAATCAGGCTGAGGGTGGAAACCCGGACGCCTCCGGGTGGTAGTGCCTGGCGCTTGTTGTCACCAGCTGCGTTCCCTGGAACCCGCTCCCGGCTTTCCACCACAATCTGAACAACCGCATGACTTCGAGAACTCCTGGCGTTGAACTGCGTGCTTGCCGTCCGCCGAGCCTGGTCGCCGCGAGCAATCACTCGCAAGAGCTGAGTGGGGCTCTGCACGATTTCCTCCTTGAGGGGGGTCGCGTAGACGCCTCGCTTGCTATCCTCGCGGAGCTTGATCTCTTCCTGCGCCTGATTCATCCCCACGCCAGTGCCGGTCGGCATGCTCAGCAGGTCGTGGATCTTTTCGTTGTAAATCTCGAGGTAGCTGACGCGCAGCAGGAACTCCCGGGAAGGCGTCTCGCGGATATAGGAGAAGATGTCGGTGATGGCGAGCGGGATCACACCGGGTGACGATGCCGTGCCCTGCATCGAAAATGTTTTGCCGGTTCCTGTCATGCCGTAGGCAAATACGGTGCCGTGATAGCCCTCCATGACCCTCCGCACCAAGCGCTTGGCCGAATGGTCATATACCCTCGAGTTGTCGTCGTTTGTCGCAAAAACATTATCTACAAGCCAGTAAGCCACAGTACGAAGTCAAGAAGCCGCCACCAACTTACCATAATAGTAGTCTCCCCCCTCTTTCCCATTGTATGAGATGAGTGACTTTCGGGCATCCACCGCCCACTCGCCATCTGGCTTGTCGCCGCCACCAGCATCTGGCCGGACTCTGACGCTGACAAGGACGTTTCCTTTGCCGTCTATTTTGGAGGAGCGCTTAGTACTGGTGCCGTCGGGCCGTTGCTGCGTGCCGTCCATCTCCTCGTACTGAGTGGCCGAAGTCGAATATGAATCCTGCGCCGATGAGCTCCGGCTTTGTGGGGGAGAAGAGACGCTGATTAACCCGTCGGAATTCCTAGTCCCAACCAACCGTGCCACCGACTTGCCCTCGCCGCTCCCATTGAGCAGACTAGGGGTGATGTTGGAGAACTGGTATGTTGGGGTTGTCGGAGTTTTTGCCGCTTTCCGGACTGCCAGCCCATTGGAGAGAGGGCTTGGTGGCATACTGGCGATGCGGCCTTCGCCCCGCGGCGGTTGCGGGAACGAGTTTATGCTGACGACCTTTCTGATCGTCTTGCCAGCCGGGTTGAGCCCCGAGGCCGACCTGGGTTGCGGCAGGGCGCCGGTTGGCGCGGGTGAGGGAGGAGGGAGGAAGGCCGAAGAGGGAGCGCGGAGGCTAGGTTTGGGTGTGCTTGGTGTAGATCTGCTGGCCGGAGCTTGGAGGGTTCCAGTGCTCTTTCTGGTTTTGGCCATGGGGAGGGCGGGGAGAGCTGAATTCGGCGGCCCAAGTGACGGGCGGGCCGTCGGTCGAGGGAGCGCTGCAGACATGATGGCGCTGTGGACCTTGGTCCCTACCAGCCGGATACGCGCGGTGGCGGTAACAAGGTAGGTTGGGTTGGCGATATCACGGCGAACTCTCGAGTGTGGTGAGGTCCATCAATCGCGTTTGCGACGGGCGGGTCGGGCGGAGTCGGTCGCTTGCGCCTCTGCGAACCAGCGGGCCACAAGAAACGTGGAGAGCAGGATCGCGGAGGAATGGCGGCTCGGGGACGCCTAGCGAGTCGAGGTCGTGGAAATTAGATCGTGAAACGTTGTTCTGCGGAGCGGAAGCCCAAGTCGTGGCTCGTGAGACATATGACGGGGACCTGTCTATCTTCTTGTCAGCGGGAGGCGGAAGCAGCGCCGGCGCCGACACGAGGAGGGCGAGCACGGCAGTGGGTCACGAGCAGCGCAAAGGGGCAGAAGGCTCGTACCGTTATAATTCCAGAGGCACCGACGTCGGCGGCTAGAAACGAGAGCCTGCCCGTCAACGAGCAGTGGGTGGGTTTGTAAGGAGTGGCTGCCGCTGGCGGTCCGGCTGATCGAGGATCGACTTCGTAAGAGAACTAGAACCAGAGTCGGAGTCGGAATGGAGGGTGATCGACGACGTCGTGACTGTCGGCAAGGTGCTTCGTCTCTTGCGCCCAATGTTCGTATGGGCGGCAGGGCAACTCGGTGAAACGCTCAACGCTGCCAACACTCTCCTCTCCAACCTCGAAAAAGAAGTCCCGGTTGTTCAGGGTCGAAAGGTCGCGGATGCGCAGGGTCCGAGATGCTGTCCCGAGCAGGAGGAGGTGGGGAATGAAGCGCAGCGAGCTGCAAACCAGTCGGCAGTGGGACGAACGGGCTCTGCGAAAAGAAGCACGA